CACATCGGACTCCCTGCTCTGCGGGAAGCCTGCTTCTCCCTCTCCCACTCCCCCTGCTTGTGTTCCCTCTCTCGCTGTCTCTCTCTGTCAAATAAATAAATAAAATCTTTACAAAAAAAAAAGAAAACATATGTCCACACAAATGTTCCCAATTATTAGATGACTCTTAATAACCAAAAAAAAAGAAAGAAATAAAAAAGAAAACAACCCAAATGTCCATCAACTGACAAATGGATCGACAAATGTGGTATATCCATAAAGCGGTATATCCATACCATGGAATATTATTCAGCTATAGAAAGGAATGACATACTGATCCATGCCACAACATACGTGAAACTGGAAAACATGATGCTAAGTGAAAGAAGCCAGTCACAAAAGACCACACAGTGTAGGATTCCATTCATATGAACTGTCCAGAAGAGGCAATTATATAGAGAAAGAAGATGGATAAATGGTTGCTTAGGGCTAGAGGTCCGAGGAGAAATTAACTGCAAACAGTTTTATGGGAATTTGCGGGTGGGGAGTGTGAATGGGGACCAAAATACTCTCAAACCAGATTGTGGTGATGGGTACACAACTCCACCAATTTACTAAAAATAACTGTACACTTAAAATGAGTAAATTTTGGGGGGCGCCTGGGTGGCTCAGTCGTTAAGCGTTTGCCTTCGGCTCAGGTCATGATCCCAGGGTCCTGGGATCGAGCCCCGCGTCGGGCTCCCTGCTCGGCGGGAAGCCTGCTTCTCCCTCTCCCACTCCCCCTGCTTGTGTTCCCTCTCTCTCTCTCTCTCTGGCAGATGAATAAATAGAATATTAAAAAAACAGTGAATTTTACCGTATGCAAAGTGTAAGGCTCTTTTTAAAATCCCTCAATCTATCCCATTACTTAGTTTCTCTCGAAATTAACTTTTCTCCCCCCAGCTGGCCTACCCGCGCGCGTTACAAGACCTGGTGAGAACGGTGGTGAACGAAGTTTCTGACGCATTCCTGTCGGTTGGGGCTGAAGGTTGTGCTGACAGACACATCAAAGTCAGCATCTGTGTGTGTGTGAAATTGTAAGATGTCTTGAGGTGTACGAGGCATTTCCGACTGGGTGATCCAAGTGTGGAATCCGGGCAATCCGTGGCCGCTTCTGCCAGGCTAAGTGTGGAGTGTGCCCAAGGCCCCTACTCCAAGTAAGAAACGTCGTCAGGTCAGAGATTCACTTCTTGGCAGCTCTCAAGCCCTGTGCACGCCCAAGCGAACGTTCCATCAGGGCATATCCGCGGAACCGGTGAGGTGGGGATGGCGGTGGGGGGTAATTTGGTCAGCGCGTACGGGGCAAGGAGGTCCTGCCAGAATAGCCAAATGACCCAAACTACGCCCCCACCCCCGCTCCCCGCGCTCGGCGCACTCCCACGGGGGTCCCCCTGGGAACAGCACGTCCCTCCACGGGGACGATGGGATGGGACAGCACCTCTCCGAGCTAGGGGAAAGCCTGGCACCGAGTCCCCCCCCCCCTTGCCGGAAGGGCACAAACTGCCACAAAGCCAGAGGGAGGTGTCTCCTCCCAGGGGCTCCGGGCGCCTGGGAAACTCACGCGGCTGCTCGGCAGGGTGGCCGGGAGGTGACCGGTCAGGGAGCCCGGACTTGAGTCGCTGTCGCCGCCGCAGACCCGCCGCGCGGCCGGCGCAGGGCGGAAGGAGAAGGCGGTGGAGGGGGCGGGGGGTGAGCCGGCGAG